CAGCTCAGTAGGTGAAATGCTTGCCAAGCAAGCCCTGATGCCCTGAGTTTTATCCCTGGAACCCATGTAAATATGGAAGGAGAGAATAAGTGCCATAAAGTAGTTCTCTAATCCCCACATGCACACCATGGCATGAGCATGCCCCATACACTAATAACAAATAATATATACATATGTATATGGGGAGGTTCCAGACAGGCTTTCTTCTGTGTAACCCTGGAACTTGCTCTGTAGACCAGGCTGGCCTCAAACTCACAGATCCCCTGCCTCTGCCTCCTGAGTTCTGAGATTAAGGGTATGCACCACTACAGCCCAGTAAACAACTTTTTAATAAATAGCTTTTTAAAGGCAGAGATTGTGACAGCACGCACAAGACCATCACAAGCTCAAGCTGAACAGATCTCTGCACAATAGAGGGGAAGATGGGCACAAGATCCTACCCGCTAACCCAGATGCTATTAACAATGGTAAGTCCTGTGAGAGGCTCATCAGTTTTCTTCAGGAGAATGGCACTAGGAATAGCAACACCTTCTAGGGCAGGACCCGTACACTGGAGCAGTTAGGCAGCATAGACTAGGCTCCTTGTTTTTTTAGTGGCCATTTCCTTTTGTTTTTATTCATAGGAGAGAGAAAGAACATGAAATTGGTTTGGGGGAGGGTCTGGAAGGAGTTGAGGTCAGAAAATAATATGAAAAATATATACTGCATGAAATGATCAAAGAATGAATTTTAAAATGAAAATAGATTAAAAATCACTATATTGAATTTTTTTAAAGGGAAAAAGAAAAATGACAGTTCTTCAAGTGACAAAGTGTTTTGAAACCTGTTTTTGGCATGTCTACACTATAAACTTTGAATATTCTTGCCTAAGCAAATTAAAAGTGAAAAGATTTCTTTGTACCTCTGTTCCCAACTCGTTCCTTCGTCCACTGAGTGGCTGCCACAATACTCTCTGTCTTGGTGACATCAAGGATCACTGTCTCCAGCCTGTCTGATGTCTTGCTCTTCAGCTCCTCGGCCCCCTTCTCCGTCAGACATGCAGCCAGCACCCTCATGCCTCTCCTGTCCAGCTGTCTGGCCAGCAGGTTCCCAAAGCCCGAGTCACAGCCCGTGATGAAGACATACTTGTCTTGGAGATGGCTCACCACCTGCCTCTCACGGTACCAGCGCAGGAGGGTCCACAGGCCCACTAGAGCCACCAGGTAGAGCCACATGGCTTTGAAAAGGACAGGCACATAGAGTCTGTGCCAAAGTGAGCCTGGCCTCTATTCACAGAGGATGAAGCAGGCACTGAGGACTCGGGAGACACAGCGGAACACAGGCTTCCAGCAGGGAGTCTGCACCTTGTTCTCTGTCCACTGTCTGTGGTGATATTTATTGCTGTCTCACTTCTCTGCTCTTTCACCTGGTTGGTCATCTGATATATAATGGCCTTTGGCCTTCCCTTACCTGCTGCCAAGAAAACACCACTGTCATTCAGTAACCCACCTTCCTTCAGTTATGATCTCTGATTTTACTCATGTGGGATTGCATGCATGTTTCCTTACCCACGCCCACTACAGTCAAGTCCCAGGCTCACCTTGGGTCTCTGCATCTTGCACTCCAGTGCTCCAAACCCAGAAATTTGTGAACACACTTAGGTGCTGGTGCCAACCTGTACTTGGCTCACTTGGGCTCAGGATACATTCACAAGGAAATCCTGCTCTGAGCTCAGGTTTCCTCCTCAGGTTCCTCAGTCAGAAAATCTCCTCAGAAAACAAAGTAGCTCTCTTTGTCTCTAAATCTCCAGGGTGCTGGTGCCCCCTTCTGGCCTGCATGGATACATGCAGGCAGAACACTGTATAAATAATAAAGAAAGAAATCTTTAAAAAAAATTAAGGAGCTTACAGTGGCAGTTGAGGGTAGATTAAACAGGGATTTATTTGTGGGGAAATCAGTTAGAAGACCCAGTACTTTGTGTGAGATATTACATGCAAAGCAATTTATAAATATAGACTAATCTGCATTGCTATTGAAATTGATCTCATTGACTGGGATGTATCTCTGTTGGTATAGTGTCTACTTAGCATGAATTAGGTCTTGAGTTAGATGCTCAGTACCTTATAAATCAAGTACAGTGGCACACGCCATAATACCAGAACTCTGGAGGTAGAGGTGTTACATGAATCCACAAGAGACTGTTAAAGGGTCTCAAGAAATTATTTAGGTATAAAATGGGGATAAATACTCACTGATAGAGAACAGATTAGATGCCAGATGCTGTGTCCTGCCATTCTGCCTAGGGGAGATGAGGACCAACTGCTCCTTGCTCTGGCTCCAACAGAGGTAGGGAGCCGGGGAAGGGAGGGAGAAACCCCTCACCCTCAGCTCTTAAGCAGCCACATACGAAGACAAGACTATGCCCTAGGGCTTGCAGCCCCAAAAAGTCATTAGCTAAACAGACCGAAATCCCACAACATAGAGGTAGGAGAATCAGACATTTGAAGACACCCTGAATTACTACATAGAAAGTTTGAGGTTACATGAGACCCTGTCTCAAAAAACAAACAAACAAACAAACAAAACACAATAAAATACATGTGACATGAAAGCAAAAGCTTTTCTGGGAGAAAGAGGACCAGCAAAGGAGATTGGGGGTGGTGGACAAATAACAAAGATGATGATATGTGTGTATCAAAATGAAAATGTCATGTGGTAGAGCATTGCTTTACAGGCTAACTACAAAAACAATTTTAAAAAAGGAATGGAAAGATTAGTGTTCACAGTTGCCTGTTCCTATATGGAGTTCTGGTGAACTACTCACCATTTTTTGCCAGTCTATAGGTGTTGGCTAAACATTATAATCACTATGAACAGAGGCCAAAGATAAGTGTGGAGGTGTGAAGACCTGGTGAGGCCTCCCCCGTGATGCCTGCAGGAGGGGCTCTACACAATTCGGATTTCTTAGTTCATCATAAAGGTTCCCCCATTACTGGTTACTGGCCCCCTTAGTTCATTCTCTCTCTCTCTCTCTCGCTCTCTCTCTCTCTCTCTCTCTCTCTCTCTCTCTCTCTCTCTCTCTCTCTCTCTCTCTCTCTCCAGGATCTCTTTACGTAGCTCTGGCTGTCCTGGAACTCACTATGTATATCAGGCTAGCTTTGAACTCAGAGATCAGCCTGCCTCTGCCTCTGCCTCCTAAGTACTAGTGTTGAAGGTGTGCACCAACACACCTGGCTTTGTGATATTCTTTCTTACCTTTTAATCCTAGCCAGCAGTTTCTAGTACACCACAGAGAACAGGTTTTTCTGGTTTTTCAATGACATTACTATGTTGCCCTGGCTAGCCTTGAACACCTGGGCTCAAATGATTCACAGCCTTCCATGTAGCTGGAACAAAAGACTGGCTACTGTGTCCAGAAGTACAAGTTTTCACAATACCTCTGTATATGTTTCTCTCAGTACTTCTTTCTTTTTACCTACCCTTATCCACTTAGAAAAAAATACTTTTAGTCTCAGCACTTGGGAGGCAGAGGCAGGCAGATCTCTGAGTCAGAGGCCAGCTTGATCTACAGAGTGAGTCCCAGGACAACCAGGACTATACAGAGAAAGCCTGGCTCAAAAAACAAAAAGCAAAAAGGGCGGGGGGGGGGGCACTTGGGGATAGTCTGCATATGACACCAGAGCCTTACTCAAAAATCCCAAGAGCCCCTGCTTTGATTCAGCTAAGAGGGCCTTACCAAAGGCTACCAACAGTGTCCCCATATGCCACTGACACCTAATATACCATTGGATCTTGTAGTAGCATGTTGCTTTGCTACATGCTACAGTTTGCAGTGAACTTGCGGTGGTGGCCATACCCTTTGGGCGTGGTTTCAGGTGTTCAGACATACCCCTTATAAGGTAGAGGAGGGGCTGGCTTGCTCTCTTGGGCTGCAGTGAGAGCATCTAAAGGGCAGAGACTGCATCTTCTGGTGCAGGTGGTTATTTACTATTATTTGTATAAGTGCTTCCCTAATAAATACATAATTATCATTTATCTTGGGTCTGGTGGACTCTTTTAAACCCTGCCTTCAGGATCTGCTGGATCACATGGCAAAAATCAGCAACACAGCCTGGACCTGTTGAAGAGCTTTCTCCTATTGCAGACCCCATCCAAAACTAGAAGCTTTTTGAGGCACTTGGTACAGGAGCCAGGTGAGGAACATGCTGCCTACGAAATCAAAATAGGCCCACTAAGCACCGTGCTTCTTTCTTGGTGTTGGGAGGGGCCAGGTACAATAACCTTAAAAGGAATATCTCTACATGGCCCACATTACTGGACTCAAAAAAAGGTAGAAGGCCCTTGGATTTTGGCTACATTTTTTCCCATCCTCTGACACATAAATGCTTTACTCCAGGGTGGTTGCTAAATCTTGCTCACTTGGTCCAAACAGCATTCATGTTATCAACATAATGGACCAATGCAAGACCTTGTAGAAGAGATATATGATTAAGATCTTACAAAGTTATGACATGGAGTTGGAATATTAGAAAACCCTTGAGACAGAGGAGAGAAGTTTGAAAGGATTAGGAGGTGTGGCCTTGTTGGAGGAGGTGTGTCACTGGGAGGTGGGCTTTAAGGTTTCAAAAGTCCATGCCAGGCCCAGTCTCTTTCTGTCTGTCCACCTACAGATCAGGATGTAAAGCTCTCAGCTACTTCTCCAGTGCCATGCATGCTGCCATGTTCCTGCCATGATGACAATGGACTAACCCTCTAAAACTATAAGTAAGCCCCCAATTAAATGCTTTCTCTTATAAGAGCTGCCTTGGTCATGGTGTCTCTTCATAGCAATAGAACAATGACTAAGACAGTGCAATGATATATAATATCGTAATAGTTCCTTATTATTTTGCTTGTTTTCAGTGGGAGACACAGAAAAACCTGCCTGGAAGTAGGAAGACTTTACAAAAGAGGAACAATTGGAAATTTTAAAATGGCATTGTGGACCATGTGTACAAAAGCATAGATATTTCTAAAACTACCAAGCATTTCAAGGCTGCTTAAGGCTGGGACTGTGTGTGGCTTGGTGGTAGAAAGCTTGCACAGCCTACGTATGTGAAGCCCTGGTTCAATCCCAAGCACATCAATAAACAAATAAACTGATTCGCATTACCAAAGTTCAAAAGAAGCAAAAGCATATGAAGTTAAACCATCTGTGAAGGGCACAAGGCTGTAACCTAGCTTACTGGAAGCTCAGACCAGAGGACTGCAGATCCAGAGCCTGCCTGGGATATGGAACAAGTTCAAGGCCAGTCCTGACAACTTAGTGATAACCTGTTTCCAGAATAAACAATGTTTGCAGTGACTGGCAAAAGTAGTGGTAATCTGAATTTGAGTAACTACAGAAAGGAAAGGACATATGCCAGAGGTTCTGGAACGATGACTTTGATGAGGGAGTGAAGAGGAGGAAAGCTCACAAGAGGAGGAATGACTCCCACATTCTTCTCCTGGGCAAATAGGTTGATAGTCCAGCACAGAACAGTTAGAAAGACCAGGAATATGGGAAGCAGGAACTTTGCAACCCACTATAGAAGCTGTCTATCCCAACCACTCCATAAAACAGCTCTGGCAAAGCTGTCAATGCCGTCCTCCTTGCCCAAACTGATGGGCACTCTCTTAGCTCTCTCTGCTCTCTTCTCTTGGCTCCCATGAAATCATCCCTAGCTCTACTGTTCTTTGCTCTCTTCGGCCCTTGCTGGCTTCTTTTCCTCTACTCAGTTTTAAAAGAATATCTGTATCCTGACCTCCTCCTCTGTTCTCCCTATATACATTCTTATTTGGTGATCTCGGTCGTCCTCCTGACCCAAATTCAAGTGACCCCAAATCTCTGATTTCAACCCAGATCTCTTTCCTGGCATCGAGCCTCCAATTTCCAATGGTCTTCTGAACACCTGCCACCTGGGTCCATCTAGCATCTTGTAAAGTTAGAGCTCTTGCTTTATAAGTAGGTTCTGTGCTGGCTATACTACAAATAGAGGCTCATAAAGTGATTGTGCTGTCTGAACTCCCAGAATATAAACCTTTGCTTCCTGGTGGTTTGTTTCTTTAAGTGCTTGGCTCAAACTCAAGACCTCATGAATATTAGGCGCTACCACTGAACAGCCCTAGAATTCATGGTCTTAATAGAGAAAACAGATAGCAAACATAGAGTATATCCAAAATGCAGCATCCACTACTAATACACTGCACAACCAGA